GAGCTTAAGAATGCCAACCACACCCTGAAATGAAAGCAGCCGACGCCGATCGCTGGCATCCCACACGACATATGACTTAGCACTTGGGAGGTGCCGCGGGGCGGGTGTGTATGAGAGCGTCTGATGACTTCATTCTGAAACGAATGCATGACAGCAGTCAGCATAAATCAGTATTTTTCAGCCTTTTCTGGCATGGGTTTGTTAACTTTAAGTACAGAACACTGGTGGGACTACCAAATAGGCTTCTCAGGTTCGAGCTACTCAGCCTTGTGCACATAAATAATAATCCCGCTATAAATTGGAATCTCACATCTCCTAGTGAGTGATTTAAGGACAAGTGGTTTTATTAAATTTGGAGAGCACAATGCCATCCGAACTCTCACTGTTCTTATTTCTCCGACCCGATGCAAAAAGTTGGCAGAGAAACATGGCTTCCCGACGGGTAGGGCGAAAGTAATCTAATGCTAGCGAAAAAACAAGTATTCCGGATTTTTCACAGAAAAAATTATATTGAAATGGTGAGACTATCAGCCTAGGTTATCAAACTTAAGTGGGAAACGCTCCCCGTATCATTTTGCCCAAGTAGATGGTACGTATTGTGTAGTTATGACGGCTTATACCAGTTTAATCGTAATGCGACGGGTCATGTGGACGAGACAACTCCAACCTCTTAAGTTATGTGGGTTTGTGAAAAGCCCCATACCTCATAAGGGTTGGTTCAAACTTCTAAGGTAACAAGCAGTCGTCAGGTACCGTAGTGTTGAAACGCAACATCCTATTCTGAATGGGGCCAGCGGATCAAACAGTATTTCCCTGAGATTATTTTAACAGCATCAACAAAAGGAATTGCGGGAACAATTCTAACACCGCTTCTCCACTGTTTAGGAAAGTTTACGCCAGGTGTAATCGAAAAGTCGACTTTGAAAAGACAGTTTTGTCTGAAGAGTGGAGAAGCATGCAGGTTAATATGATCCTCCCGGCTTTTGATGTAGAAACTCCACCTTACGGTATTCAATATAAGAGGTGCCGTGCCAAGTTAAACTAGCCAGACGCCATCTTGTAATCAAGTACCTAAAGCGTGCTACTTTCAATATGTCAGTACGGCGTTTCGATGTTAAATGTATGCGTGGCAATGTAACTGGAACGGAACTCTAACCGCTCCCGCTCAGATTAGGATCGCTCAGTAACCAAAACTGTGCCAAACGTCCCAACTCCATAACACGATGCGTGGATTATCCATGTAGCACATGGTCCCTGTTTCAAAAGACCAACAGGTCGTGGTGTCTGGCTTGGGCAACCAAAACACCTCCTGACCCTGTTTTAATTATACGCTCATTAGCAGACCACTAGGCCTTTCCTGACCCAGAGGGTAATTTGTTTGGTTAAAAAATTGATAAGTATATGATTCATTGTTATCGTTTGTTATATAAGCGTAAATATGTATGCATGTACATATATAAAAGACTGTACACGTTTCGGAGAGGAGCACACGACATCCAGCATGGAACAGAGTCGTAAGAACAGGGGAGGCAGTGAAAGACAGGAGGGGTGGACTCAATAAACCCTCACCCGCTTTATTGGGGGGTCCTCGTCATCCTGGTAAAACAGCTGCTGGGACTGGTTGCCAGGGTCAAGTGGCATGGCGACAAGCCTCTGGCGTTGGTGCTGTTGCAACATACCAGCAACTGAGTGACTCAACTTTGGTCGCGGCAGATCTTCCTCAGGTGTGGGCGCGGGTGGATTTCGGAAGTAGCGCGAGGCCAGAGCTGAAGTGGCGGTACCTCGTTGATCAGGATCCAGACTCAACAGACAGTAGAGCAGAGATATCAAGTCCTCGCTGGCAGCGGTGAAAATCTGGTTGAAGGGCACCGGAGCTCGAGGCTCAAAGCTGATGTAATTAGGCAGGCGGCAGACGTCAGGCCAGGTATCTTCTGACGGTGTTCCGGTAACCTATGTGAAATTTCAATCCGCTCAATGCCGTGAAAAGGCCTACTACTACTACGTTCAAAACAGTGACCCAAGATCGCTTAAACAAACTCCCTTCTGTGAATGAAAGTTCAAGTGGGAAACTGACCATATGTGTACCTTATGGATAGAAACAAAAATCATTAAGCAGATGTAAGGTTGCTTCTAATCGATTGTGTGTGTAAACGGCGTTTATATCGAATATGGCCACCTGTTTCCTAGTCTGCATCGTTAGATTTTAACGTCCTTTCATGCAGCAAAATTTCTAGAATCGGCACTGGTTTTAAGGCCATTTTCATTGCCAAAAATTAAAAGTCATAATTTATGTGACCTTGGCCCAGAAAAACCCATCTACAGGCGCTACCGATTATGCTTGACCTGTTACAATCGGACTGTGGAAGGAAGCGACTGGAAACGCTGACAATTAGTATAAAAAAATGAAACCGGCATTTGCGAAGAATCCATCGACCAAGGAACCGACTGTCTAAGGTTGAAAACAGCTTTTAAGTATCCTTCCATAGCATCGTAGATAAAAGCAATATCTCCCAGAGCTGTGACTGACAAAGGTCAGGAACAGTTGGATAACCACTCTAGGCTTAATGAAGGTCATCAATTAGTGGTGCCTCAAGCTCCGGTGTTGAGGCACCCGTAAACGCCTAAAACCCCGAAAAGCCTACAGATGCAAAAGACAGTGATAGTAGCAAAGATGCGATAGCCAGATATCATAAAACGGGAGATGGGGTTTTCCACAGGCCTTTAGTGCACATCAGCAATGTTGATTATGGGTGATCCCAAGCTCCTGCCAGACTTCAGTCGGCATGACCCCCCTTATCGTCTGTTGCGATGATTGGCAGATCAGAGGGTCGCACGTCAGGTCGGACTTCGCCGTGGGTGTGGCCTCCTGTAAAGTGACGACGAAAGTCAAGAAAATCGTAGACGGCTAACTGAACAGTTGTCTGGTGGCGACGCTTCTTGCAGCCGCCCTGTCATGTGATACTTATCCCACTCCTCCCTAAAGCTCGCGACGAACTAAGTCTGCGCAGTTACACTATCAGCGGCACGTGGATGAATCATGTTTCGCAGCAGGCATCCTGGCGCCACAGCCGAGACGCCTTTCACGTATGCGATTCTCCGCTTTGGCCTGGGCTTTTCGGTTTTCAATTCCCAGACAGTCTCAATTTAAACTATCATTGGCCTGCTGAAAAGGCACTAGGGGGGAAACGACTGTCAACCCACAACCCGAGGTCCAATCGAACTCATGATGCACTGCCCCAAGGTATTTTTTACCATTAATGGGGTCACAGTACATTTTACCTTCTGTTGACAGAAAAGGTTAAAGATATGTCGACAAGGCGGGTTTCGGATCGATTCAACCTGACAGGCATGACAACGCTCTTCCACTTAAGTCACGAAATCACATTTGGACAAACTACAGGCAAGAACATGGGTTTTCCAACTTGCGAGTGGAATTCTTGAGGCTGCCATCCAAAATCTTAAAAAACAAGTATTTGAGGAGAATAAACCTAAACTTTTCGACGCAGTGTGCCGATGACATCTTTGTCAATATCAACCAGGACAGGGTGGGGTACTCTAAAAAGCAAGTTAACTCGAGCACCACGGGGATATGATTTAGAGCAGACAAAATGTGAAAGAGTCTCCTTCCTATACATCCTCATTCGCTGACAAACTAATAGATGACTGACGGCAATAGTGAACTGGAAATCAACCAACGCCTTGCCAAAGCCTCCACAAAAACCCAAAACGAAGTTGTAAACATGCTTCAACGATGAGTTAAAGTGTACTGGACCGTGTCAGCGGTAAAACGGGACGAGATCAATCATTTTCAGGGGCTTTTCAGAGCCAAAAGATATCCACGAACATTAGTTGGCATGTATCAGGGGTCCTCTAAGGGCGAAAGTTCAGAGAGCAGTCAACTCAGATCATTTATACGCATTCCGCACACAGGACTTTCCATTCTCCGAGGGCGGGCAGCTGAATGCGCCATGTGAAATGTCAGACCCCAAATATACCTCTCTTGTTAAACGCATTTTCTTCTTGAAACTAAGCACTCTCCCAACTAATTCTTACCGTCTTGTAAAAAGTATTCGCCAATGAGAGAGGAAATCGAGAGACTCATTAAAGCCTCAGCGAGTAGAAACTTAGTGGAACTGATCAGAAAATCAGGCCTGTGACAACAGTGTGGGCGGCAACTAACCTCGAATATCTTGGCCAGTTGCGAAAGATCGCAGTCCGCCGGGAAGAGAGGGACACGCAGAAGAAACTCAGCAATGATGCAGCCGACTGCCCACATGTCGATGCCGACGCCGTACTGTGTGCAGCCGTAGAAGAGTTCAGGTGCACGATACCAGCGCGTGGCGACCTGATGAGTCATCGGCCGACTTGGGGAGGCTGCAAAATGTCGGGCTAAACCAAAATCGCCGATTTTTACGACGCCGGTGGAACTGAGGAAGAGGTTATTTGGCTTGAGATCACGATGTAGGATCCATTGTGCGTGCAAATATTCCACACCCTTGAGCAGCTGAAATTGCAATAAAGCCGTTACTTAGGAAGAAAAGGGTAGACAATTTTACTTTACAAATGAAAGGTAGGAATTGTTGGGTTACGGAATTATGACGAGGCTGTGATGTCGCCGTTTAAGATAAACCACAGCGGTTGCAAAATAAGTAGTGTAGTGTACCCAGGGCCAAACCCTCTGAGATGTAAAAAGTATAGTCTTACTGGTCACATCCAGCGGATGGGATGTGGTGGTTGCAGGCATGCAATTTGATGCATTAAGGCCGTCCGATGGCGTATGTAAAAAACCGACGCGACCGAAAGCATGCCTGCTGTCCAGGTTCTCACTTCTGGGGATATTACAACGACTAAAAATATTGGAAGCAGGCACATTCGCGTGCTACATGCGTATTAACGCCCTTTCCGGTAGATTGTTAAGTAGCGCCGGCGGCGTAATAACAAGGTCAGGTTCCTTTAACGATCCGACTTCACAACCTTGGATTGCTAAATGAAGCCACCGTGTATAACGTCGTTTTTCAATTGAAAAATAAGCCTCTCACGACTCCCCGCCTTCAACTTCAGGACGTACCACGCAAGACGCATGGTACGGACCAATTTGGCATCTGAGGTACTGAAAGCGATTGAAGAAATTCTTCATAGGCGGTGAATGGGTTTACGCTAACTATTCGGTGTATTGAGTAAACGAATTTGGCCAGAGCGCTTTTAAGGGTAGCTTAGTGGTCGACTTAAATTTCATATAGTAAAATAGAGAAAACATACTTTCAGCTGATGCAAACAAAATCCGTGATGGAAACTCCAGCAACTGCTTCAACCCGGATACTTTCTTATAAATTGGAGAAGAATCACGGGCTCTGAAGAAAAATCAGAGGGAGAGTTAACTCGTTAAGAAAGTCGCAAGCTGCAATTCGTTGCTCCTACATGTCTTGGCTTGTTTACAACGCTCCTCAAGGGGCAGAATTTTGGAGAAATGTCATCCAAAACATCACGGATTACGGGAAATGCGATATCGGGTATTTCGTTTTTGCGGTGCTTGAGAACGAAACCTGAAGGCGATTGCCCCAGTGTGAGATAGTAGTCTACTCAGTCTCGTCATCAACATAAGACCAAAACAGAGGTGGATACCAAGATGGAGAGCACTGTGTAGGCGAATAAAGCCTTTAACAAAATGGGTCAAACTAGTTCCTTGCTGGGGGGGGGGGGAGGAAATGCCTACGCAAACGAAATATGGGCCTCGATCCACCACTTAAGAAACAGCACGCAATAGCAAGATAATTCAGAGCTCTCCTACGAGAAATAAGGAAAGCATCTGCAAAAAGTGAGGGGACGTAACTCGCGAGACGCGACGGCTGATATCTAGATGATTGGTTCAGGATACCTTGCCCTGGGCAACGTGCACTTTGTGGCCTAACGCATGCCGGAAACATTCTTTTTTCATACAAAATATCTTACTATGTTATTATATGAAGGCAAAGTTTTACAAGTTTGGACGAAATCAACGTTGCGTTATATTTGGGCAAGTTCCTAAGTTAATAACTGCCCTAGACCACAACTCCATACTAGTGCTTGTTGCTCAAATTGAGGGTATTAAACTACATGAGGAAGATGTACTAAACTACTGCCGTTAATTTGGAAATCGGCTTTTCGTTTTGCAGAAATCAGTTCCAGCAAGATGTGAATAGGCACGCTATTTTCGGAAAACCAGAAGTTTTGTGGTTTTTAAAGGTTCAAACTTGCACATGCGCAATTTTATTCATCAAAAAGCGGAGATAACGCCTAGGGGCAATCTTTTTTCATAAAATACTTGAAATTTCCAGGCATATGCAAACATCCCATAAATAACCGCGAAATGGCTCACCGACAAGAAGTCACTTCAACTTCTTGAAATTGGGTAAAATGCCTTTTGTGTGTTTCGATTTCTGTTAGTACGTAATTTAAAAACGGAATGCGCACATCGTTCGCCATTTTGGCACTATTTTAATATTCAATTCGCCACTCTGTAGTACATTTTCAATTGTAGAATAGAGCCTAGAAGCAAGCCAAGGTGAAACAGCTCCATTACGAAGAGGAAAGTTTCTTGTTTTGTATGCGGTAGAAGAATTGACAGTAACGGTTATAAAACTGTGTAAGTGGGCAAAACGTTCAAATTTTTTACTTGTTTTCACTCTGGGAAACGATGAAGGAAACGGGCATTCATCGGCCCTAGTAATGCACTTCTTAAGGTAAATTTTAAGCGGTTTTTCAAGTTGAACAAGAGCATATTCATGGTAGGCCCTCGTAGTGAAACTCCATTTCCTTCGGCAATTAGATTTCATGCTCGGTCAAGTGCACAAATATGATTCCTCGGCATAAAGAAAAAATTCGTGAACTCCAGACGTCAGTAAAAGATTTCAAGAAATGTTTTATTTTTAAGATTTTGATAAAAAAAACGACAGAACCTATCGTTTTGAGCACTCAGTTAAGAGCAATGGAAACCCTGAAATATAACCGGTATTCCAGGGACGGCCTGGAACTCAGCGGATTTATCGTCGTCAGAAAACAAACAGTAATTCTGTGGATGATAAATACTCATTATACATAGCAAATGGTAAGCTTATAACTACATCCGCAGTTCAGATCTGTTTTATTAACAAAACGATAGGCGAACGCCTTCGAACTCTCTATTGGTTGCAAAGTGCCCAAGAAAAAGCACGGATGAGTGAAAAATCGAAAACGTGATTGCTTAGATAATTGCGTGCGATAAGAAAGCAGCAGTGTGTTAGTCAAAAAGAGTAAACATGAACGTCTCTTCACCTATTGCAAGTAGAATAACCAAATGTAAGCTCGGTGACCGGCTAAGTGGATGTGTGCGTGGCCGGTAATCGAGAAACATGGGGTGTAGGGTGTCCAGTTGTGCGTTCACGTGATCATCGTAGTAGGTAGCTCGCCTGCTTGCGACAGTTGACTATGCCTAGCGTCCATTAACTGGTACACAAATCTTACATGTGGCTCCTCGAAGCTAGGCTCTGCCCAGCGGCCAACACCCTGGTGACCGCATCGACCGGAATGCCAAACCAGGTTAAGGCTATCCGGGTGTCCCCATACCCGGTAACTCTGTTCCCCTCCCCCTCCTCTCTACTCTACTCTCTTACCCCCAAGGTCAAAAAGTCCTACGACGAGGGCGAAATGTAATCACGTAGGCGGCCCGGCCGATAGGGTCGTTCTCGAACTAAACCAACACGTGGTCCACAGCGCAGTTCGACAGCTGCCTGGGACGACTTGGCAGACCTATTTAGAGACAGCACTGTATATCCCCTGAGGGGGGGGAGGGACTATGAAATGTGTCCTAAACAAATGCTGGATTCACGACATCTGCGCGCAGACCGTGGTTCGCAGACTGATATCTGCGGTCGAAACCAACAAACAAGAAACAATACTCTCACTCTTCCCCCTCCTCCTCCTCCCCTCCGCCCCACCCCACAGGCTGCTAGGGGTTCGCTCACTCTAGCAGCCTGAAATGTTCGTTTCCTTTTAGGCAATCTGCGGAGAAACCGACAGGAACGGAGAACGGAGCCGGTTGCTCGGGAACTGGCGCGCTACAAAGTGAACATTGGTAGGGGGCGCTCACGGATCGTTCTTACGGAACTCACTCATTCCGTTGTGCCTTATGGGCTCCCTCTCGAGCCCGACCAGCAACCGCAGAGCGGCACATCATATAGGCAGAATGGCATTACCGACAAAGACAAGGGAGACTGGAATGGCCATTTCTGGCTTATTAGTCGTCGTCAGCCAGTCATACCCAACCCCGAAGTATCGAACACCCGAGGCTCGAACACGCGACCTGGTAATTAGAAGTCCACGCCTCCAACCAATTAGCGGCTCTGACGTGGTGAAGACCGAATTCTACGAGGATCTGCACGCCCTCCTGACGACTGTGCAGAAGGCGGATAAGTTGATTGTCCTTGGCAAATTCAATGTCCGCGTCGCGACGGACTGCGCTGTCTGGAGGGGAGTGCTGGGTTATCACGGGATCGGCGACTACGACGACAATGGTCTCCTTCTCCTGTGAACCCGTGCTGAAGACTGACCCCTGCTGACCAACACTTCTTCCGCCTGCCGATGCAAAAGAAGTCCACTTGGATGCACCTCAGATCGCGGTGCTGGCAGCTGCTGGGCTATATTCTCGTCCGGCGGCGAGATCGATGGGGCGTGCTGGTGATCAAACCGATCTGCAACCCCGATAACTGGACGGATCACCGCCTCGTCAACTCCAGGATGAGGCTCTATCTGCAACCCCGCAAGATGTCACAAGGTAAGCGACCGCCAGGTAAGTTGAATACTGTTCTGCTGAATTTGTCTGCTCGCTGTTTACATTTCAGCAGTTAGCTCAGAACCTGGCAGACCTGTAAGCCCCGGACGTCAGCGCCATAGTAGAGCCTCGATAGTGTCAACTGCGGAACGCCGTCCATTCGACCGCCCTGGATGTCGTCGGCCGTGCACGTCGTCAACACCAGCACTGCCTGAATGAAAACGACGAAGTCATCAGTAACCTGCTCGCCGAAAGAAGCAGGCTGCATTGAGCCTACCTGGACGGGCCAACCGATGCAAAGAAAGCGGCCTTCAACTAGTGTCTCCGCCTTGCGCAGCAACGGTTGAGAGAAATGCAGGACGCCTGGATGACTAGCAAGGCCGAGAAGATCTAGGGATATGTCGACCGCAACGAATTAAGAAAATTCTTCGTTGCGAACAAGGCGATCTACGGCCGCCAATCCAAAGAACTGCGCTGCTTCTCAGCTTGTATGGATCAGCGCTTTTGGCGGAGAAGTCGCAGATTCTGAGGTGTTGGTTCGAGCACTTCAGAAGCGTCCTCGACCATCGCTCCACAATCTCCGACGCCGCCATCCACCGGCTCCCCCAAGTGAAAATCACCGTCGACCTGGACCTCTCGCCCTCTCCCCAGAAACCATCCGCGCTGTGCAACAACTCTCCAGCGGGAAAGCACCAAACCCCAATGCGAGCCCGGCTGAAATCTACAAGTACGGCGGCCACCGACTGATGGGTCAATTCGCAATGCTATTTCAGGAGGTGTGGGGCTGTGGACAAGTTCCTCAGGATTTCAAGGACGCAATCACCGTTTACCTCTGCAAGCGCAAGGGAACCGGCGACTCTGTAGCAATCACAGAGGCATCTCTCTACTCAACTTCGCCGGAAAGATCTTTGTTCGCTTTTCTCCTCAATCGTCTCAACGACCACTTTGAGCAAGGGTTACTGCCCGAAAGCCAATATGACTTCCGACGGCACCGGGACACAACCTGCATGGTCTTTGCGCTTGCTAGCTACAGAAGAAGTGCCAGGAGAAGCGAAGCCACCTCTGCGCTACGTTCATAAGTCTGGCGAAAGCCTTCGATACGGCGAATCGCGAGGGATTGTGGAAAATCATGCAGAAATTCGGCTGTCCTGAGCGATTCACGCACATGGTACGTCAGCTCCGCGAGGGGATTATGGCGCGCGTCACGGCCAACGGCACAATCTTCGAGGCATTCGCAGTTACCAATGGAGTGAAGCAGGACTGCGTCTTCACGCCTATCCGTTTCAGTCTCACGTTCTCTGCCATGCTGATGGACACCTACCGTGATGAGTGCTCAAGGATACACATCGCCTACAGAACTGTCGGGTATTTACTCAATAACAGGGGCATGTAGGCCCTCACGCGACTATCTACGACTGCTGTCCAGGACCTGCTCTTCGCCCGCGACTGCGAGCTCGATACCACGACCGAAGTAGACATGCAACGGAGCATGGACCTCTTCGCCGCCGGGTGTGCCAACTTCAACATGACAATCAACAAAAAACGGTTGCCTAGCACCGACCTTCACCGAACGCTAACTACAACTCTCGTCGGATCACTGTTAACGACAACCAACTCCAAACCGTTGACAACTTCGCTTTTCTGGGAAGCACACTTTCGCGCAACACAAACATCGACAACAAGGTTGTCCGGCGGCACTCCAAAGTCAGCCAAACCTCCGACCGGCTGCAAGCGTCCGTGTGGGATCGTCACGATTTTCAACTGAACACAAAACTGAAGATGTACGAGGCCGTCGTCTTGATGGCGCTCCCGTACGGGCCGGAGACCCGGTCCGTCTACTGCAGCCGTGCCAGAAAACTCAACCATTTCCATGTCAGGTGTCTTCATCAGACACTAAACCTAAGGTGACAGGAGAGATCCCGGGGGTATGATGGCACACCTAGGTCTAACCTTACGCAGCATTACTCGCTTGTGCCCAACTCCTGCATCAGATTACTGAACTGCTTGAACAGCGGACTGGTGCTCTGGAGAGGGAGAAGAGAGTGAGGTCGACTAAGCGCATATTTCTCATTATATGCAATCTGACGCGCCTGAATCTATCACAGTATGCTAAAGGCCGTGGTTTAGGACGTTGTCAAATTACGCGACAACTCAGTCTTCCTCTCAGGATGGAGTCAGGCTGTAAAGACTCCATATTGATGTGGCCCTTACGACATTGACACTCAGCTAAGCTTCGGGCCGTCCCCCCCCCCTTGTTTCTCAGAAAACTTGATTTATCTCGCGCGGACCAGGCGAATATGGCACGCGTAGACGAACTTTGCCAGTCAATGCGCCCGATCCGGACTCCTGTCTTCTTGATTCCATCTCTCTGGCGGGTGAGGGTGGAGGGAGTGTGACAGATGCGGTGAAAGTCTACAATCACTGTAAACTTCTTCACGCATAAGTCACCGTCCGTACAACCTCCTGTGTGACACACGGTGGACATCGTTGTTCGCGACGGCCGCACTGTCATTAGAAGCCAAACATGAAAGTTTCTTCAGGGGGGGCCCAGGTTGAACGGTCATGTGAGGGGTTACGGGCGGGAAACCCTTTGCCTGGAGACAATAAGTGACAGGGTAGTGAGCAGGAAAAAGAGACAAACTTGTCGATTACCTGGAGGCTCAGAGACTTAATATTGGCGGGAGTGAGAACGACGGTCTGATCACGAATCACTGCTTCGAGATCTGATTCCATAAACTCGAAAACGAGGCAAATTCCGAAGTCTTGACTGAATACATCCAGGAGAGAAAGCACATTTGGGTGACCGATCTCACGGAGTAATTTGATTTCTCTGATTGCCGAGAGATTCATCCCATCAGCAAGGACCCATCGTGGCCCTGCTTTAACCTGCAACATAGCACTGATGGTCGACAATTGTATAAAGTACTTTTTTTCAAATAAAAAGGACAACGCTTATTGTTAGGAGGCAGACGGCAAAAAAGGGTCGGTTATAAGGACTGTGTTCGTTTTGATTATTGATGTCGTCTGTGACACGTGACAAGACGTCGGCGGAACTTCTCGCATCCTGGTACAGCCTTAGACAATGCTAACGCAGCAACAAAATGCCTAATGTCTCGGCTGTTGCAGACATTTCGGGTTTTCAGATGTTTCTACGGAGTCCTCATATGGTTGGTGAGTTTTCCGCAATCTGCAGTCAAGTTTTACTTCTTGATAGACAGCCAGATAATGGCAAACACAAAACCTTTTTACGTCCAGCATTCCGGCTGGTCGATCATGTCTCGTTCTCACAACGGACCGACTCAAGGATTCCAAGGTTTGCAATGTCTTGGGGAGTCCGATCACAATCTGGCGACGGTCCAATACTTTTCCGAAAGGATACGAAGACGTAGTGATATACGACTTAATTTTTGCTTCATGTACTCGAAAGCGGCTCCAAAAGTCTGCAAGTATTTGACATCTTCGATTTGAAGGTGGATGAGGTGCTTGGCGCCCCATCTTTCCAGAAAAAGATTGGGTTGGTATGTATGGCCGACGGATATATTGCTTCGTTCACATTGGTGATAACTTTATACAACTTACTGCACCTTTATAGCAAAAGCATGCTTCCATCAGCATAGACAAGACAGTACCAAAGCCAATGAGGGAGAACTAATCATTAGTCCTTTTGTGCTAGAATTCCTGGTTTAGTGGCCATTCCGGAGCTCCGGTCTTGCTTTCCCAAAGAAAGTGTGCCTGCTGAACCATCACGGTGAATTTCACGCCAGACATATTGTGAAGACAGGGGGGAGAAAGTGGCAATAATCGCAAGATTTCGCTCACAGAGAAAACTCGAAAGCAAATAAAAAGTCAGTCTACCTTTTTGATTGCTACAAGGCATCCTCCTCTTTGTAAATCGCGGGCCAAGAAAACGTTGGCAAACTGACCTTCTCCTAGATAACACACCTTTTCGTAGCGAAGGTTCTTCTGAGTTTCGTCCACAAAGATATCCATCGCTAAAGTTCAGAAATAGGGTGTCATGTTTGCATCATAACGAAATGGCGCATTTGAAATGACCTATTATTTTAACGCTTGAAAATAATGCAATTTGGAGGTTTATGATAAATGCAACAGTAGACAGTGAGAGGGTCTGAACGGCAGCCCAGAAGCATCAGATTTTACTTGTCTTCGAAGAGCACTGCTCACCGTCCAGAATCGTACAGGAAAATTGACCGGACGGAAGCGCGGTACACCCAGGTCTTCACGACGACAATGGCATCACAGTAGACCCACAGGCACCCCCCGAAGACCCACAAAACGCGGATGATGTTGTACACCGCTTTCCTGCTCGTTTGACAACGACTTTACCCCAGGATATTTGGAGAAGTATATGCAGGCAACCACTAATTGCTAGGGATAACTTCTCCTGGCCAAAGATGCAACGCACGGATACTCTGGCCTTTGTAGTATAAGTGGGCAAGCCAACCGGTTTATAAACTTCAGACCGTGGATCTAAATATTGCGGAACTTCACGAATGCAAGAGATGTGATTGGCTCTTCACCGACGCGGAGGGGACACTCAGAGTGATAATGCGAGCGATTGAGATTAGTTAAGTTGTCAGCAACATAGTTCCCATTCAACATCAAACAGTCATGCACTGCAGGGGACCTATCGCCAGAATTGTCGAATAGCGGACATTTATGGGAGCAGCAACTTTAATCCAATAGCTATTGAGATCTTTCCTAGCACAAGGCCATTGCTGGAATATTAAGTCAGCAGATTTCACGGAACTCTTGAAGACGCACGTTGGTGGCACTGTCGGTTTTGGCTAGCAAAGTCCAGCACTTCACACTTTTCAAATCAAGAACAGTGATTCTTGAGAATTACCTGGCCCGGTCCGGTTATCCCAATCACCATCAACACCCGGCAGCTTACAACAGAAGAGTTAGTCCACCATTGGTTGCGGTTGAGTATAAAAGGTATTTTTATCTCGATGAACAGCGACTGAGGTTGTGGGGCAACAATGGAGGCAAAAGCAGATTTTCCTCCCAGGCGTGTGTACACCAGTCGTTCATTCAGTGACTCCACGAAAACACTGCATGATCGGTCCATAA